AGGCCGGGGGCTCCTCCCAGAGCATCAGCTCCTTCCTTTTGGGGCTGCAAGGCTGACGCCAGGAGGCACTGTCTCTAGGGCGGCCTCCAGGGGCCCTGAATGCGTGGCTACTGACGCTCTCTGGTGGCCGCCTGGGCTCCCACGCAGGCCTCCCACGCGTGGAGGGCGAGCGGGAGCCCCCGTGACAATGCGCACCCCTTCGCCTCTGCCCCCGAGAGGCTAGCAACCGGGCCTGCTGGCGTCTGATTGGCTGCGCAGGCCTGACGACAGGGGCTCCTGGACGCTGATTGGTCCCGGGCCGCTCCGGCTGTTTCCTAGCTATTAATACTGAGGCTAATAAACGTTCTCCTGTTGACAAGGATGCTCGGAGCCATGATTTTTTGAAGCTTTCTTGACGTCTGCGGCTGGTGCAGGCCTTTCTGTCTCGCGAGTTTTGATGGGGGGACGCTAGTCTCTGGGACTCCTGGCGTGCTCCGCAGACTGTAAATTGGGTGTTCTCCCCCCGCAACATTATCTGACACTTTAGGGTTGGCACCCCGCTATGCCCCTAAAGCTCGCTCTGTCTTAGTCTCCCCAGCGGCGCAACCGCTCACCTATAAACGAGCCCCCCGCCCAAGGCTCGGGGTCTTTCGTGACCTGGTGGTCCACTTCCACCTCCCTTACGGATAGCTCCGTCCCTTCTTTTCAGCCCCGGAGTCTCCTGTGTGTGTGAAAGCCACCGCGCAGGATCGCTGGGCACGGCGGGGGGCGGAGGGGGGTCGCTCTGAAGCTGCTCTGAGACCCCCCTCACCCCCCGCCAAGTAGTGCGGGACGGAGCTGTTCTAACTTGATAGTCCCCGCAGGCCCCTCTGCCTTTCCCCTTCGGGACCCATCGCTCATTCTCACCCCTCTTCTGTCACTAGGCGCTTCATCCTTGCCCTCCCGGCTGCCACCCACCTGTCACCCTAAGATAGATCCCCAGTCCCTTTCAACAGCATTTTGACCTTTTCGAGAGGACATTTGATTGACGGCCCTGCCCGCTTTGCCACTCGGTGCCCGGCAGAGCTGCTGAAGGCACCACCTGTTACGGATTAAATCTCATGTGCCAAGTCCCGGAGCACAAGGCCGTGCAGCTATGCTCGGCCGCAACATGTGTCGCTGCCTGTTTCCCCGGGGCGGCACAGGGAGGGGGGCTGGCTTTTCAAAGTGTCCGTGCGGGGGAAATCACCTCGATTTTGGGGGGTATCCCACGTGTCTCCACGTGGGACACGATCTTCCTCGAAAAGTACTTTCCCTAGAGGGACACGGCTCATGTCTGAATTATTATTACGACCCCGGTTTGAGGGGGGTACCCCCTTGTTAACATGTAGGAAACGGACCCCCTGACAGAGGAAGGGACATTGCCAGGTTCTCGTGCACAGGTTGTAAGCGGCAAAGCCCGGGACTCAAAACCCGTTTTTTGTTTTTGTTTTTTTTTTCCCCTCCCTGACTCGGAGATGCAAGGCTGTGCCGAGTCTTCCATGTCAAAGATAACCAATCAGAAATGGACGGGTGGGCTAAAAGGGGGTGACAGCCGCCACTTACATGTGGGTACTGGTTCTCCTGCTCGGGGCATTTTATTTTCCGGGACAATAAGCAGAAAGCATCATTTTCCTTTCCCTAAGACGCATCCTCTGGTAGAGGTTCCGAAATAGTCAGGTGTGTGATGTGCCGCCCCCAGCGCCCCAGCTTTACCCTCGGCCCGCCTGAGGAAAACCATCCCTTGTCCCGTTCTCCCAGCAAATTGTGCAGCCAGATCGCCGTGCTCGGCGAGCGGGGCTCGGGTAGGGCAAAAAGCACCAGCGAACACAGGGTGTTGGTCATGGCGGCGAGGGGCACTGCGGCAGATTTTTTTTCCTCCCTTCTTTGCTGCAATCTGGGTGCGGCTAGAGCAATTTGTCATAGAATCTGGGGGGCTCATTTTTCCGGCCAATCACTTTTGGAGAAATGAGCGCATTGCAGCAGAATGCGCTGACGTCAGAGACCACCCCTTCTGCGCTTCCATATAAACCCCACCCAGCCAGCCCCTAGCGCAGACGGCGGAGAGCGGAGATGGAGCGCGCCTTGGCCCGCTGGCCTCGGCTGCAGCTCCTCGGGAGAACCGGGGCGCCCACGCGAGAATCTCCCCACCTGGTGAGTGGTTGGCCATCCTTGCCTGGAAGGATGTGCAAATCGAAGATGACACCCCTTCGAGGTTGGGCTCTGTCCTCCTGGACATGCCGATGACAGACGCCGGGGACCTTCTCTCGAAGGCGGCCACCTCGCCTGGTCCCCGAGTGTCGGTGATGAAAATTCTGTCAGGCAGAAAGATCTCGAGGCACATTTTCCTGGGGGGGGGGGGGATCAGGGCCCTTTTCTCGTCCAGACCCTCAGCTTGAGGGTCGGCTGGGTGGTAGGGGTTTAGATGACGCCCGAATCCGATCAGATCCCCGTTAGAATCCAGTGTACCGCAGTCACTGGGGTCCAAAACCCTGATTTTCTGTGCTCGAAGGCACCTTTAGAATCCCGGTGGGTGGGAGCTATGGCGGCGGGTGCATTATGCATGCCCCCGAGTCGGGGGGCAAGAGCACCTAAAGAGAAGAATCTCCCAGGTAGATGCCCCCCCAATTTTTGGCCAGGTTCTTGGTGGCCCGTAGGCGTGAGGGGTGCAGGTTCCCGTCCGCAAGGGATTGCGAATCCAAATGCCCAGGTTTCGTGCAGAGCAGACTCCAGTCAAAATTTAGAGTAAAATTGCTAACTGTTAATCATCTGGTTCCCCCGATCAGTCACTTTATTAGTGGAAAGATATGGCGCCCAAGTGCAGACCCATCAGAAGCCCCCTAGGACCAGTTCCGTAGAGAAGGGCGGCTGGGGGGAAGGTCACGTCACTGGGGGCACTGGCAGAATAGCAGGGTGGTGGGTTGGGATGCAGAGAAGGCCGTGTCCTTGGGGCTGGGGGAGGCTAATCTAGAGGGAAGAGAGAAATACAGAAAAGGGGGCGTGTTGGGGTTGTCCAGGCGCTGGGAGTTGGGAAATGGGGGCCGGGGGTCTTTCTAGCATTGCATGATGGTCGTTACAAGATTCTGACATGTTGCGGGATTTTGAGTTTTGATAAAGTCGTCTTTTGCCGTTTCCTTTGTCCCTGTCAAGCCCCCCCACGCCGCCCCCTCCCCACTCTGGGCCGGCAGCCTCGGGCGGGGGGGGGGCGCGCGAGCGGGTTGCTACGTGGCAGGTTTCTGGAAGGTTCTCTTGCTGGCCGCCAGAGGGCGCTGGTGGCACTGCGGAATTTTGGGGGGCGGGGTGGCGAGGGGAGGTGGCCTTTGTTCTTCTGCTGGAGGGGGTCGAGCGCGGGATTTACTGGAGAATTCTGGATTCGTTTACCTGAGGGGGAAATGTTTTAAGATCCCGGGGTTCCCTGGGCAGCCGCTGGAGCGTTGGCGCCGGGTGGAGATGGCGTGATTCGCGCGGGCTGTGTGACTTAGGGGGTCGTGGAAGAGCGTGGACGCAGATTAGTTGATCTTAGCGGGCTTTGGTTTTGGGGGTCTTAACAAGAGGATGTGGCGCATTTGAGCAAGATGAAGGGGTCGACAGGTTGTGGAGTAGGTGTCGTCGCGCGGTCTGGAGGTTCTTGCTGTGGCGAGCTGAGATCACGGGGCGGGGGGAGGTCGGTGGTGCTCTGGACGATTTTAGGTGGGTTTGGCTGCCTGCGTATTATTTTTTAGCGATAGTATTTTGTATCATGTGTCCAGAAGCCCCGCGAATGAGTGGAAACGGTGTATCGAGAACTGGGTCTTTATAATTTTAATTAATTTATGTTTAATTGGACTTACCGAAGGTCAGAGCCAAGATTTCTGTGTTTTCACTTAATAAAAGTGGAATCGTGTTCTGGAAAGATCCTTGGCGAGTGCCTTCTCGGTAGCCTTACGTGTCTCTGATGCAGGGTGACCCCCCTCACAGTTGGTGCCGAAGGGCCCCTGGACGTGTGTTGGGGGGGCGCTGATCGATGTCCACAGGTGGATTCTGGCATGCTATGGCGGGTGTAGTGTTTCGAGGACATAGTGGCCCTGCGCGATGTGCTGGTGTGGGCTGTGGCCTTCCCCCACCCCAGCCCCAGACCTGTTGGGCGCCCCCCCCCCCCGTTCTATGCCAGCTGTGCCCCTGGCAGCTGTGCGCCAGGCGCTGCGGGGGCGCGGGAGGCTCTGCTGCGCGCGCGCGCCGCAGGTGGCTGCGCTCCTGAGTCCTGGGTGCTGGACGCGCGCCCCCTAGCGGTCTGTGCCTGCAAATGGCTCGCGGCCCGCTAGACCTGGCTCCAGGTTGCGCATGCGCACACTGCTAACACTTGCGCTCTGTCAATCAAGTCTTCCTTACCCCCTCCCACTTCTCTCCCTCCTCCCCTTTTCAGTTCTTTCCTTTCTACCCCTCCCATTTCTCCTCTTCCTCCTCCCCTCTGCTTTTCCTCCTCCCTCTTTTCTCCTCCCCTTCCTGTCTCCCCTTCCCTCCTCCCTCCTCCCCCCTCCTCCCCCTCCCTTTCCTCCTCCTTCGATTCTCCTCCCTCTTCCCTCCTAACTCCTCCCTCCTCCTGCCCCCTCTTTCCCACTGCTCCCTCCCTCTCCCTCTGACTGCCCCCTCCCTCTCCCTCTGACTGCCCCCTCCCTCTCTCTGCTGTTCCTGTGCTGACCGTTAGAGGTCATCAAGATGGTTTCTAATCCGGCCCCCTTCCCGTGCCATAGGGTCTCTTCAGGGATGACATCACCTGTTCACCTCCTTGTCTTCAAGGACCACCTCCCGATGCCACGCTGCTGCCAAGGTGCTCGTTGATCACCTCCCCCTGATGGTACCTTGGCCCCTCTTTGAGGAACTGTATAACAACCTGCCGGGCAGAATCCCCACCCCTGCCGCCCTCCCTGCACACCCCCAGACCCATTAGCAATTAAAAGACCATTTTAAATTTTAACTGATTAATTTTAGTTATAATTCATTTAAATTTAATTACTACGTAGACTTGGGCTTTTAAGTGGGGCCTCTAACCTTTGATCAATTGCAGAGGCCACTAGGAGCTCCGACCCCTGGATGGCACCAGCATACAAAGCAGCCACTGGCAGAGACCACCCCCCCACGCCCACACCACCAGGACGAGAATGACTGAGGATGAAGAGGACCAGAACCGACCAGCCAGCTCTTCCCTCTTGGCCGAATGTTTAAACCAATGCCCTAGTGAGGGGGCATTGGTCATTAACCCCTGACCTTTGCTATGCTTATGCCTTGATGCTCTGAATACTTTTCTATAAGTCTCTACTTGTGTTCACTTGCCAGCGACCTGGAGTGTTTCCCTCCCCAAGGAGTTGTCAGTCTTTCTCCGCTGACAACCCCCTTGTTGCCTGTATGATGTACTGAACGGAAGGATCCCTTTGGGAACTTCTCAGGAGGGGGACCTGGGCCAAGGGCTCGACCAGCATCTCACTGGCAATTCCAAGGCCCGGGGTGGGCTTCTGGAATGAGCATGTGCCCTGACGCCTGGCTACCGAACTGCCAAGGGCCTCCCCACCTCTCCCCACCTCTTCTCAGATCTCCCTGTTCTTTCTGGGGAATGGGGACAAGAAGAGCAGCCTCCCAGGGTTGTTGTGAGTATTGAATGATATAAAACCACCTCAGGCAGGGCTGGGCATAGAGGAGGTGGTCAGCAAATGTCTGTTGAAAAAGTTTGGTAGGTCGGTCCCTTCCCACCCCTGTCACTCTCGTCTCATGCTTCTCGTTTATTCTCCCACAGCGCTCCAGGCAGCCCCTGTCCACAGGGCTCTCCTTGAAGCAGGTAGGGGTCCACCGAGATGGGCGTTGGGCAGACCTGAGTACGAACATGAACTTCACATGTGGTCATTTCCAGAGCACTTTCTATGTTCTATGAGTGTCTTATTTCCGTGTTGTACACACATATGAATGAAGCAGCCGCATTTACAGATGAGAATGGGTTTGACATTGATTGGAGGGATTTTAAAAGAGTCGGGGTGGGGGGTTGGGGGCGGGGTGGTGGAAGAAGAGGACTTAGGAGAAGCAAGTGCCCCCTCCCACAGCACAGGACACACTCACATTCACAGCAGGGACACTGAGGTTGGAGGAGTGTAAGTGTTTTGTCACATTGTTGGCAAGAGAAGGGGTCAGAGTTGGACCCTGGGTGCCCTTGTGGCCGCCCCTTACCTCCCCTGGGCCCAGAGTTGTACTAAGAGCCTTTTGATTTCCAATCAGGCATTTGACAGTGGGATAGCCTCTTTGAAATCCCAGCTGTCAAGCATGGTCTGGGGAGGGTGGGGGGTGGAGGGCATCTGGGTGGCCCTGTGCTGGTGCCGTGTGCTGGTTCCACCTCTCAATGACTGGTGTGACCTTAAACAAGTCACTTAACTTCTCCAAGCCCCAGTCCCTTTCATGGGCTAAATGGGGATTTAAAAAAAAAAAAAAACAAAAAACACCCGCATTTATCTACCCCACAGGGCGCTTTTGAAGACCAAATGATGTAACCACCGTGAAAGTGCTTTGTAAATCGCTGTGGAAATTGCTAGATACTTAACTCCCAGCGTTAGTGCCTCGTGGTGCACATGCCCAACCCCATTCTCCCTCAGTAATAACGGCACCCAGTAGGTGCTGCATGTGTTTGCGCTCAATAAATAAATTTCAGAGTAAATAAAAGCAGAATTAATTCAACAAACATTTTCTGGAACGCCGACAATATGCCCAGCACACCAGGCCTGGTATGTGATCCAAAGATGATGAAAACAGTCTCCTGGAAGCTAATTGGGGTCCTCCTTCGACCCGCACTTTCTTTCGTCCCCTTTTAAGCCAACCAGTTTTGTCCGGACAAGACAAAAACAACTCGGGCGCTTTAGAGACGCCCGGCTCCATGGAGACAATAGCTCCCGGGCATCTAAAAGGGCCTGATTGGATTATGTGGCAAATAGAAGGTGGAAGGGTGACTTGGAAGGTGACAAATGAAGTGGGCGGAGAGCCGCTTTGAGTTAATCCAGGCTATTAGGAGGGAACCTTTTGTCTTCCAGGGGCTGCCGGGAGCTTTTACCACTGGTTTTTACATCCTTAATGTAAGGACGCATAATTTATGGTCAGTGAAAACCCAGGCCCCGTGAGGTTTGAGTGGGCCTAACGATTGCGCGTCCTGCTCCCAGTGAGTAATTAGAGCGAACATTATGGCCCCCTTTGCGGTCCGCAAAGGCCTTTTGATAATCACGATTCATTTGAACCTCACAACTCCCTGTCCCGACCCCGGGGCTGGCCTGCCACCTCCAAGGGGAACAGAGGTCATCAAGGTCTTCTTCCAGGTTGGGGTCCTACGGCACATTTGCACCCTTATCACCTCTTGGGTAGTGAAGGAAGAGAGGTGTCTACGGCGTTGGTCTCTCCTGTCTCAGGCCTACCTGTCTCTCCTGGCACTCACTAGTTCTTTCCTCTCAATTCCTAATTTTGCTCTCTCCACAGCCGGGAGCCTCCCAGGCCCCCTCACTGTCCCCCCTTTCCAGCCACTACAGCCTGTCTCTTTCCTTTTCGCAGCCAAGCTTCTCGAAAGGCCTGTCTACACTTGCTGTCTTCCTTCCTCACCTCCAATTTCCTCTTCAACCCACTGCTTCCTGACTTGTTCTGCTCCGTCGAACGACCCTACCTCAGGTAATGACTTTTCTGTCACTTGACTCTGGACACGTTTCCAGCTCACGGACACATGGACACATTTTCATTTCTTGGCCTTCATGTGGCTTTCGGCTCTGGTTCCCTCCTGTTGGCCTATACTCCTCACAGAATCACCAGCTCCTGGCTTCCCTCATTCTTAGCTTCTCCTAGGACCTGGGGTATCCACAGCTCTCCTGTCTGGAGCCTGCCTCTTAGCGTCTTGCAGGGTTCGAGGCCTGGCTGAACCACCTGGTGTTGAGGCCTAGGGGTTAGTCATTTCTTCCAAGCCACTTTTTTCTCAGTTCTGGAATAGAGTTACTACTCTTTACCTGGCAGGTCAGGTGGATGTGTCACAGGGAAGAACCAGACACTAGTCGAGGGACTTGAAATAAGGTCAGTAAAATGTTCGTGAGAAAATTGGAGTCCCCGTCCACTTTTCTGACAGGTTAAGTTCCCACGGGGAGAACCAGAGAGAGAAGAAAGATGTGGGGGGTGGGGGTGAGATGGGGGAAGCGTAGCAGAGAAAAAAAAAGTAAGAAAAGACACTAGAGGCCCCCAAAAGTGGGGAAGGGAGCCTTAGAAAAAATACGGAACTCTACCAAAAACCCATCCAGTGAAAGGTTTCCTCTCGGGTCGGGTCTGGCTCAAAGAAAGTAAACAGGAAAAAGGCTTTAAATTGATTATCCCAGTGACAAATCCCAGGAAGCTTTCAAGTCAAATTGCCCCATTTTGGGTTTTTAACTCCTTCTATCAAGTTGAACCTCTTTAGGTCCCGCATCCTGGCTAAGCCCTCCCCCAGCCCCCCTCGCTGGTGATTAAGTCCCGAAGGTACGCGACGCCTTTCAGGGATGAATGGCCCACAGAAAGCGCCCTCCCCGTCTCCCCCAGCGGTGGTTTTCTGTTTTATTCCACTTTCCGCCCTTTCCCCTTAATGAACGCAGGGCTAATCTTGGGCCTTGTCAAGGAAGAGGCCGCGGACTTAATGAGGTAGCTGCTGGATTCCAATATTCGTCTCATAAGGAGCCCTTCTTTGTCTGGGGAGGAAAAACACACTGATTATCATAATGAGGTGAGCCGGCGTCCGCAGGCAGGGCCGACCGGGGCTGAGGCCACACTTCTAATTCTGGTGCTGGAGCCCGGGTTTCATGTGCTCCTCATTTAAGGCTTTGCCTCTGTCCCAGTCAGGGGTCCATTGAGCGGGGTTGAAAGTTGAAGGCTGCTTTGGGGAGCCCGCCGCAGATAGGACTGCTTTGCAGAAAGTTCCTTTGTTCGACCCTTACTACACACAGATGTAGCAGGGGTCCCGGCCCTCCGCGCCTCGTGGATTCATTGTCTGAGAAGCCTGGGAATGGAGGGATGCGTGTTTTCTGCTAGAGCACGGCCCTGACTTGTTTCGGGGCTCACGGATCATTAAAGACTTCATAATCTACCTGTAGGACCCATGGAATTGTCCCAAGGTTGACACTGACCTGGAAAGCCCCATCCTCATCAAGAAATATTGGTGCCCCTCCCACCGCCCAGCCCCTGCCCTTGGAGTAGTGAGGTTCGGGGTTCACCTTTGCCTCCCATGTACTGCTGCACATGAACTTCAGAGGCCCGGGGATTTGTCAGGATCACTCGGAGTCAAGTGCACAGAGGGGACGTTACAGCTCAGATCTGGCAGCAGAACCCACAGCCCTGCTTTTACCCGCTTCATACCGACCTACTCCATATGTCCTGTGCACCAGTGGAAGGACCCCCACCAAGCTTCTGTCCTGATCTTTGAACTCCCCAGAGCCCATCGATGTCTTTAGAGCAGGTATTCCCACCCCCTAAGTCTGACAACTGCCCCTCTGTGTCTGAAGTTCTGGGCTTTTCTCACCCCAAGACTGATCAAGATCAGATCACTCCCAGTTAAGCACCAGACTGTAGCCAGACCTTCAGCCAGATGGAGAACTAAAGGAGAAGGGAGGTGATGGGAACGAGGGGAGGAGGCTCACAGTTCTCTGTTGGCTAAAGGTTCTCTGGCATCACGGCCCAGAATTCGTTTAAAAATCTGCGAACCCAACTTGCCGAGCACCTGAACCACATCCGAGGCTGTCCTAGGGACCCAGAGGTTGCCTGGGTGAGGGGGCCGGGTGAGGCTGAGCACCTCTGAAAGTAGGGATCCTACCAAAACCTACTGGTCTCAACATCCCTCATTAAGTCAATCCTGGAGGCTCTGGACTTCTAGGAAGAGGTGGCTTCCCCAGGTGGAAAAGCAGAGAATGCCTGAGGCCAGGAGACGCCCCCCACCATCCCATCCTGAGTTTCTGTTTTTCTCCTTTTCCTGCCCACCTCTGGTGTCCACCGCCTTCTTCCTCCTTCCATCACCCGTTTCCTGATTCGGTCCTCCGGGGGTGCCCTAGGCCAGCCCATTGCTTCCTCTGGGTGCTCCAGCCTCAGCTTGGCACTAAGTGGGGTTCAGTAAGAGTATGTGGGCTGTCTGTTTGGACAGGTGAGTCAGTGAAGGAACCGCCGTACTCGAGACGCTAGACGGGAGTCTTTGGGAACTGAGGAGCATCAGGCAAACGGGAGGAGGCTGGAATTAGTTCCTCTGAGGGGAGCGTGGGCACCGCCCTGCCCCCAAGCCCCATTTGAGCCGGGCTTTGCTGGCCCTGCCCCTTCACTCACTCAGGCGTCCATCCCGTCATCCAACAGTTGATCCTTACTGAACGAGCCCATTGCCCGGCCCCGGCTCAGCCCCAGCGTCCCTTAGCGTGTCCCTTGATGGCCTCTGCCCCCCCGGGAGGGCTGGCCGGGGGGTTGCTTCTGCGGAGGGCGGCCTTGTGCCACCGCAGGCGCTGGAGCAGCAGCAGCCTCTGGCTCTGGAGAAGGCCGGCAGAGGGGCGTGGAGGGTAGGCCTGCCTTGGGCCACTTGGCCCCGGTGACCTTTCATTTAAGCCCTGGGAGACACTTGGAGGTGCCCATCTCCAGGGCTCTGCCCCCTCCTTCCCTCTCTGCCTCCCGGAGATCCCACCCCCCATCCCGTAGCTGAGTGCTGACGGCTGCCCTCGCCCCCCGCCCTACAGCTCAGGACTGACGCGGGGGCGCAGGAATTGCTGTGGCGTGTGTGTGCCCCTCGGGCTCCGGTCCCCCAGGTCTCCCTCTTGAGTCGGGGTCTGTGACCCGGAACGCTCTGTGCTGGGGCCAAATGCAGCCCCTGTGCACCAGGCGTCGGCTGGAAACCTCCAGGGCGCTCTGCAGGCTTGCCCTCTGCCCGGTTGCCTACCTGCTCTGCTCTGTCTTGGTGGCCACTTGACCCTCTGCTTGCCACAGTCTGTCGCCCGGCCCGACCCATCTGCCCCTTCTCTGCACCTGAATCACTGGGCTCCTGACCCCCTGGGCCTCCGCTGTCGAGCCCGCCGCCTAGCTGGTTGGTTTTCCTTGCCGAGCCCACGCCTGCGGCTGCCTGGTCTGGTCTGCTTCCTCGTCCGCCTCTTGGCCTTCTCTGGGGTGTAAAGGCCCCTTCTCCAGCCTAAGGAGCCCTTCCCCTGTGTGGCCAGGGAACCGGTCCCCAGGGCCCACGGGACAGGCCCCTGCCGCCATGCTGCCTCCCGCAGCCATCCTCGGGTGCTTCCTCCCGTGGGGGGGGGTGGGGGCTCCAGGTGAATGGGGCTGCAGCCGGACCTCTGTCCTGCCCCTCCCCACCCCCGAGGCCCCTCGTCTCGTCCCCCTGGGTGTTAGCCACAGCCTGTCCCTGGGAGGCCTGGCTCTGCCGTGCCCCAGGCCTCACAGCCGGTATGGGGGCTACCAACTGGCCCATTGCTTCTTCACCTCTTCGTGTCCTTGCTCATCTCCACAAGCCACCTGCTTCCACCGAAAACCATGCGGCAGGTGAGACTCGGCTCGCTGCCTGTGTGTGTGTGCGCGTGTGCGTGCGTGTGTGTGTAGCTCCTCTGAAGTGCCAGCCTTGTCATAACCCCAATCTCCTGCATCTCCTGCAAGGTCAGCCCTGTCCCCGGCACATCGCCTGGGCTGGCAGAAGAACCCGATGAAAGAGGCCAGAACAGCCCCCAGAAGACCGCCGCCCTGCACCAGGGAGCCCGCCAAGCTGCCTGTCGCCAGTCCTGTGCCTCTCCACCTCCACCCGCTTTGGGGTGAGTGTCTTGCTTTCTCGCGACATCAGAATTTCACTAGTTTCAGCTCACACATCTCGATTCTAGAAGGTACACGTTTAGCCTGGGGAGGGGGCTACTACCAAGAGCAAATCTGCTCCACCGACCCTGCAGCCTGGCGGGGATCTGCAAACTGCCTGGAGTCTCTGGGACCGTGGCCGCATGGAGCCGGCACACGTGGGGCCCACCCGGGGCCGTGGCATGCTGTGGGCCGGGCACGGTAAGTGAGGGGTGTCCACAACGCTGACCACGGGCCCCCAAGAACCAGCTCAGGCCAGGCACACAGTAGGTCCCCAGTGCAGCGTGGCTAAGCACGGGAAGGAAATGAGGGACGGTACAGGTACCCTCTCTGGTCTCTGAGGCCCGGCCAGAGGGCCAGCATGGAGACGTGGAAACAGGAAAGCTTGTCTGTCGGTAGAAAACCTCTTTTCCCTGAAATCCAAAGCTATGTCAGTCCTCGTGAGTTCTCACACACCAGGCTTTGATAATGTCCTTTAATCACAGAGTAGTTTTTGAGTGAGTGCTTCTCTTGGCCCGTTTTCCTCACCCCTGAAATTGCAACGAGATGGAATGTTTGTGTCTGTTTAAATAAGATCAGTAATGGTGGGGAAGAAGAAAGCGGAGGGTTACAGCCGTGCGGCTCACACCAGAACGAGTCGTTTGTTTATCTGGCTTTCCTTATTCCAGACGCATCGATGGAGCCTCGGGGGCTCAGGGCTAGGGCTCTGCTGGGGTGCCTGAGACCAGCTTTGTCTTAGGGACTAGAGGGTCTAGCAGGGTTCCCTGGGAGATCCCACGTGGCCGCTGAGCAAGATGGCAGGAAGAAAGGAAGCTCGGCCGAGGGCACTTTTCCTTTTTCGGATCCCAGGAACCGAGTCCCATGAAGGGGCCTGGGGGTGGGGGCTGTTGGCAGAGTCAGCAAAGCAGGGGGCCGTGCTAGCTGACTCCGTCCGTGCCTGCTGTATCTCCCGCTTCATGCTCCTGGGGTAGCCCCTAGGCTGATAGATAAGGCCAGTCAGACTCCTGGGGTGGTCCAGGTGGGAGATGGGGAATGGCCTGGTGAGGCTAACTCAAGCCCACAGATATTTACAGAGCTTCGGGTGGGTCCCCCAGTGTCCCTGGGCCAGATGCCAGTGTCCCCCTTCGTCCCAGGGGTCCCCAGGGTTTGTGAGAGGGCCAGTGATGAGCAGAGCGGGGAGGGGGGCCTCCTCCAGGTGCCGCAGACCCCCAGGGTCTCTCACGCAGATTCCGTAATGCTCTCTCATCGCATGGAGGTTTCAGAGATAGGTCTACGCTGCCCTTCTCCCCTGGAAGGGAAATGGGTTGCGGATATTACTTTTCCACAGACCCCGTCAGTGTAGGCGACGAGGGGCGGAGGCCTCCGAGCCCAAGGACCGTTGTCTTTGCTTGATTTTGTTCCCTAGAGAGCCAGTTGGGCTGCCTAGAGGCGGGGAGTGTGTGCCCAGGGCTGAATCCAAGGAGGGGCACCAGGAAGGCTCTGCCCTGTGATATTTACTGCATAGTTGGCATTTGCTGAGCCGTTAGCAAGCAGGGTGACGTGGCAGAGAGAGAGGCCTGGGAGGGAAGCTTTACACAGGGCAGGATGCAGGTCGGGGGGCGGGGGCCTGGGGGTTTCGAGTTGGGTGTTGTATCTGGAGCTTCCCAGACAGATCCACAGAGCTAGTCTGAGCCAAGTGCCCATGGTTTCTGGATTCTTCTGGAGGGACATCTCAGCAGACCCTCCAGGTGGGCTGAGCTGAGGGGCGGAGTCACGGCTTAGGCAGGTGTCCAGCCCACCCCCAGCCTTTGCCAGCCCTGCCCCTCATCGTCCCCAGCAGGGTGGGATGGTGTCTCTTTGGGCCTGGCTGTGTCTCAGGTACACTCGTGAACGTTCCGTCTCAGGCAAATACACATTTTTGTGTGTGTCACATGTTACTTTGCATTTTGCACGTCGGTAAGCAGAAAATAAAGACTAGATCGAGTATTCTTCTCAATTAAAGGAGTTAAAACAGAACATCATCAATAATCAGCCTCACAGCCTCAGATTCCAGGCATTATTAAGTGTTGAAAGAAATGATCATTTTTGGGAAAGTTCTTTTTGTAGAGGGATTGGCCCACCCTTGAGTAGTCGGGTATGGGTTGGAGTCCCAGACAGGCTAGACATAGGGCAGAGGGCCCTGTCAGTGTGGCGGGAGGGGGTCTCTCTGTCCTGCCTCTAAGTGGATGCTCCGAGGAGGGCACAGATGTGTGGAGGAGATGGTGGTCTTGTCTGGAAGCTGGCGGTCCCATCCCACTGGCATCCCCCTGAGTGGGTGGGAAACGGAGCCTAGAACAGAGCGCAGCCCCTGTACTCATGGAAGGACACAGAGTCTTCCCACCTCGGCCCTGTGTCTTCCCACCTGCAGGTTGCTTGGGGGGGCGCTCCCTGCAGCTTTTGGGGCCCCCGACCTCATGCCTCCTGACTTGTGATTCAAACCCTGAATGCATTTCCAAGCACATTTCTCCAAATAATGTCAAAACCTGGCAAGACTTACGGGCAATGGGGTGCATGTGTTTCTTATTCGTTTACATGAAGTAACTTCAGTGTGTGTTTTATGAGCAATCTGACTTCCAGAAAGAGAAAAAAAATCGACCCATCTTTAATGAGCTTGCTAATGAATTTTTCCTTGAAAAGAAGGGGGCGGCTTTCCACAGAAGGGGGTGTGGAGAGAGACAAATTAAGGTTCCAAAGGGTTAAAGGGCAGTGGGTGATGGCGAGACCAGCGTTGTCAGCTGAATTGAGAAAGGCCTGCGGTCCTGGGGCAGCTTCTTTTTAGAAAACCCATGTTTAACACAGTGTGAGTCCATCCCGGGAGGGAGCGGTCCCCTTCCCTCCATGGCTTTAACCCCTGTCCTCTCTCCTATAGGGGAGAACAAGGAAGCATCGCCTGGTCTCCCATCTAGGGTGTGAGCAGATGGAAAATTCCGGAAAAGAGTTGTATCTTTCCAAACGAGGCCATCTTGAGTGTGGGTTCCCGTTTTGAAAGGGAGACATGAGTGTGGGCAGGGAAGGAGGGACAGCTCTCTCTATAGGGCCTGGTTCCCAGGGGAACCAGCTCTGCGTCCTGAGTGGCTTGAGAAGCCGGGCCCTTAGGGAAGTCTGAGGGACCGGGTGTTGCAGGGGCGTGTGAAATGAGTCTGTGTTTCAGAGCTAGGAAAGAGTTCAGAGAGCCCTTGGGGACTCTGTTGGGAGGTCTGTCCCCAGAGGTGTCCCCCACCAACCCCCTGGTCCCGGCGCCCTGCACCCTAGCAGCACCAGCGAGAGGGGTCCCAAGTTCAGTTGGACCAAGCGGAAGCAGGTGCGGAGTGGGGGGGGACTCCCCAACTGTGCCAGGGTGAGAGACCCATCTTTGAGGAGCCCATACATTCTGGAATTTCTAGCGCCGCCTTCAGACACTTGTCCCATAGTCCCATATCCTGGTCTTCACTGTGGAAAACAGTGGAAACCACGGCTCTAGCCATGGTTTTGGGAACTGACTGATGAGAAAGTCTGCAGAAAAATCTCTGTCTTCTCAGCTGCCCCCTCCCCCGAGGCCCGGGCTCACGAGGGTCTGGGGCTGGAGCAGGTGCAGAGGAGCTGAGGCTGGGGTCGGCGCCCCCCTCCCCCTTTGGGGATGCGGGTGGGAGAGGGGAATTAATCAGGAGAGAGGAGGCTGGGGCGGGGTGTAGCCCCGGGTCTCTTAATTGCTCTCCAATTTCTTTGGGCTTAAAAACAATCCAGATGGAGAGTTCTTAAGTCCTCCCAGCCTGGGGGTCGGGGGAGAGGAAGGCTGCCCACCACCTTTGCCTCCTTCTCCGGCAGTGAATAGGGCCTCTGGCAGGGGCTTAAGGAGGAAACTCTTAGCCTGGGAGCTCCCAGGGCCGTTTGAGGCGGAACAAAGGCGCAGGCAGAAAGGAATGTGGGGGCTCCCCCCATGGAGAACAGCCACCTGGGGATAATCGAGGGCTGAGTGCACAGGAGTTTTCCCAGGTCCTGTGAATACATTCTTTCAATAGAAGGTGCCTTTTCTTCAGATGAAAAGGAGAAAAGCTCAGTCACCTTCCCTGTACTGGAGTGTGTGTGTGTGTGTGTGTGTGTTCCCTCTGGGGCCACGGTGGCCCCTTCCTTGTGTGTGTGTGTGCGTGCGTGTGTGTTTTGGGGGCCGCGCCACGCAGACGAGAGGCCGCTCAATGACACGGTTAGCCAGTCACCCCGCCAGCGTGACCCTGGACATGCTCCTGCTCCCCAGGTCTGGGGCTTCTCTGCACATGTCTCAGGATGCAGACTGCTTGTGCCTCTGCCCCTAAACCAGAACTGGATCAAACCGGGCCTGATGCCCTAGAGAACACCAGACGGGCAGATGGGTCTGGGGACACAGAACTCCAGGGTGGGAAGGAGGGGACCGGGAGGAGGGTCTGAGGGGCTGAAGGCTGCCCGTGTGTCTATACCAGCTGGTCAGGCTGCTTGCTCCTTCTCCCCTCCCCCCGCCCCCCACCTTCTCCCCATTCTCCGGGCCCACCTGATGCTGGAGGCAGTCATGAATTGGGGGCCAATGTCCACACTTAGGATGATGGGGCTCGGCATGGCTCACAGGCCCAGGGGCAGCATTGAGCGAGGGGACCCAGCCAGATGGAGGGCAGAGTTTGCGCCAGCATGACCCCTGACTGTCCTGAGGGCTCTGGCCCCTCTGGGATGACTGGGGTAGAAATCCCAGCCATGAGAGGAAAGGAGTCCCCGTCTCAGTCTTGGCTGGAGCCTCTTGCTGCTGGCTTCTGGGCCTCAGTTTCCCCATCTGTAGAATGGGGCAGTAGCCTGTCAGCTCTGTGTATT